CCCAAAAAAAAATCAACTCACGAAAACGGGTGAGCGAGGAAAGTGGCTTTGAATACCAGGTGTTATGAATGAACAAGCAGAGTAGCGCGAAATGAATAACGAGATGTTCACTCAATGAATGACGATACAAGGAATGGCAAGCCAAGATATAGGAACACCAGAGCTAGTCTAACCATGCGATGGGAAGGTTCGGGAAAGAGATCGAAGGGCCGCGAAGTGACGAAGCGACGCCCGGAGAACTCCTGAAGGTCGAACTTGAAGGTCTGGAGAAGCCGAGGCGATTCTGTCAGAAAGGTCTGGAACAGTCCCGAGGCTTCGGGGTGTGTTCGAGCGTACGCGCTAGCAGTACCGCTCGGTAAGGAATGGAAAATTCCTTACAAATGGACAGTAGAAGTAACCCCGGCCGTCGAGGAACGTTTTCCCGCTCGCGCCAGCCCAATTTCGTCATCATTGCGGCTGGCGGCGATATTTTTCCCGAGCTCCAGGCGCTGTTCGAGAGAGGGGGGTAAAGTGGTGGCGGTTGTATTTTTGGGGTGTAGAGGCCTAGTACACCCTTGCGGTTCATGCAACGCCACACGCAAGGTGGACTTCGCGATTAAGCGAACGTCAGCATTGCGTCAGGTTTGCGTCAAATTTGCCAGGGAGGGAAGCGACGGGGGTGTTTCCCTGACGTTGATGTCATCCGCAGATGGACCTGTTCTGTAGGCATGTCGACGTAACTAGGTTCGGGTACGTTGTGCCAGGTTTGGACAAAACTTTGCGGGCTGACCCTCGATCCGAAGCAAAAAATCTCGCACTTTCCTTTTTTGCCTGCAGAACGCAGCCATCATGTGCAAGGAAAACGACGTCACCGATGTCCCAACAGGGTACAGTTTGCTTTTGTTTGATTGAGAAGTTGGCTGTGCGTTCGGAAGCGGTGACTCGAAGTCAAACCGTGACGTCGTGCCGTTCGAGCTACTTGATACACGCCCCAACGGGTCCATTATGCTCTGGAGACGCGCAAGCACCAGTCTTGCGGCGGTGGGGGACACCGAATTTCGGCGCACCACGTCATGCCCACGTACTGTGGCTTCAAGCGATCAGTCCCACGTCATCACTGTGAAATACAGCGTGGCTTGGCCGCCTTTGTGTCACAATACGCTAAAACACGCTAGCAATGCGTTACACCTATATGACTTTTGAACCTCAGATTCGAGATGAAAATGGTTTCCGGCGGTGTCGCTGTTTTAGAACGGTTACCCGTGGTTCTCTTCCCCATTCAAGCGTTTAGTCCCCTACACCCTTCTGAGCCCTGATGCAGCTTGGCCTGAACGTGAATGTTGCCTGAACGTGAATGCGACAGGTTTGCCTCTCCTGCGCCTGCTTCACGTACTCGATAGCTACCATAGCTAGTGTTACTAACCATTCTTGCCCCGCGAACTTCGCGAGACACTACAGCGACTTCAGTAACACGAACCCTCTGAAAATTTCCGCGCCCTACATTTATTCCGCGGCCCAAAAGAACGCAGTTTCGTTTCGTATCCGTCTCTGTAATGGCTAGACATCCGGCGGTCGCGAGATATGCGCCTTTCCTTCGCCGACCACCATGCACCGCTGCGCGGCTCTCCGCTCAAACGCGGAGTTTCCGCGCCCTTGCCCTGCTCGCGCTGTTCCTCGCCGGGGCGGCGTGCCCCCCCGCGGCATCTGCTGGCGGAAACTGCACCGCCGGGTTGCGTGGGCGAGCGCGGGCTGCTGCGGCAAATAGCGCAATCGGCGCAGCCTCAACAGGTGCGGCGGATCGGCCATGCCCCCATTCCCCCTTTCCCCCATTCCCATGTCCCCCTTCCCCATTCCCCCACGTCCCCATGCCTCCATTGTAACACCGCTTGCCTTGCATTGTAACATGCATGTTTTTCCATGTCACGTTCCCATGCCCCCTTGTCGCTTGCCCCTGAGCCCAGCCTAGACTCGTGCGGGCCACCCACCCACTCCCCAGGCACTCGTGCTCAGGGGCAGCCATGCCAAGGCCGCGCGCGCACAGGGGCAGTAGAGTGCCTCGTCTGCCGTTTCCCTGCGCCCTCTGCGCCCTTTGGCCAATTCCCTCTGCGCCATGCCTCTGCGCCTTCTCCGCCCGACCCCCTGTGCCATGCCCCCCTGCGCCATGCCCCTGTGCCATGCCCCTGCACGATGCCCCCTGCGACACAGCCACTGTGACATGCTTATTGTGTGAGATACCCCTTTTCTCCATGCCCCTTACCGCATGCCCCTTACCGCACGCCCCTTACCGCATGCCCCATGTCGCATGCCCCATGTCGCATGCCCCATGTCGCATGCCCCATGTCGCATGCCCCATGTCGCATGCCCCATGTCGCATGCCCCATATCGCATGCCCCATGTCGCATGCCCCATATCGCATGCCCCATGTCGCATGCCCCATGTCGCATGCCCCATGTCGCATGGCCCATGTCGCATGCCCCATGTCACATGGCCCACGTCACATGCCCCACGTCACATGCCCCATGCACCACTGATTCAATCAGCACATATAGCACTGGCGGGTGGTGGGTGCGGAGGGGGAAGCGTGGGTTAGGAGGGGAGCGTGGTGCTGCGGAGGTTCACAAGCAGCAGCGCAGAACCTTGAACATCCCATCCCAACAGTCGCTTCTGTCTCTCATGCTGCATTCGCTACGCCCTATGCACCCAGAAGCACCCAGGTGCACGTGTTGCAGGCAGGGGCAGGGCGAGTACAAGCGTGATTGGTGGCGGCCAGCAGCACAGCACCTTGATTGTCCAACCCCTTGCTCCATGCTCCATGCTCCATGCCCCATGCTCCTATGCACCCAGGTGCACATATCACTGGCGGGTGCGGGACGAGTGCTGGTGTGGTGGGTGACGGCCAGCAGCACGGCTCCTGCTACGGTGGCGTATGGGGAGAAACGCGGGCAGTACACCAAGGTTGCCTCAGGCGGTGTGACTCGTTATAAGATCAACAGTTACACGTAAGGGTGACCCGATGCGTTACCTATGTCTCTTCTCCTCTTTCTTACCTCCTCTTTCCCCCACGTTGCTCTTCCCCCTCCCTCGTCTCTTCAAGCCCCATCCAATGCCCTCGATAGTCCCCATTCATTCTTGGCTACGTCCGTCAGCTGTTGCCACGTCATGCAAGCCCTGTTGCCACGTCATCATTGCCCTGTTGCCAAGTCATCCGTGCCATGTTGCCACGTCATGTTGGCCCCATCAGGTCTGGCGACATCCACAAGATGCTGCTGGGCCGGTGCTCGAGAATGACCTCTTGAAGCCTCAAGGATCTATGCCCACTCTTAAAGCCCGCCACCACATACTTGCTACCGTGTGGGGCGGGGGCTGCAGTGGGCCTTGAGGCTCCGGAACCATTGATCTCCCACCTTTCTCCCCTTCGGCAGGTCCGGCACTTCAAATACATTCTCTTAAAGGCACTCGCCTATCCTCTCCCTCCCACCTCCCTCCAACCCGCAGGTCGGGCTACATCCACAAGGTGCTGCTGGGGCAGCGCTGGAAGGACGGCCTCTTGAAGCCCGCCACCACCTACTACTACCGCGTGGGAGGGGCAGCAGGGGTTGGGCCTGAGAGGGCGTTCAAGACTCTTCCCCGTTGGACCCAATCCATCAACGTGGCAGTCATGGGTGAGTTGCGCTGCGCGCGCGCGCCTGTGCACAGTGGACCACCCAAAGCCCGCCACCACTACGTCCACTACCATCACTTGCCGCAACCATCACTTGCCGCAACTGCACGCCGCCACTTCCTCTCCCTCTTTCTCCCTCACTTCCTGTCCACCCCACACTTCCCACCCCCCATGTCCCTCCGTCCTCTGCCTGCCCCTACCAGCCCACGTGGGCACAGCAGCAACAGCCGCAACCGTTGCCCGCCTCTCCCACACAACCCCACACCCCCCTCGTCGTCCTCCACACAATAAACCCACCTGCCCTTCCCCCCCCCCCCTCACCAAAACCCTCCACTCCCTCCCCCCCCCCCACCTAACCAACATGGACACAACAGCAGAAGCCCCCAGCGCCACTCACTCACCTCTCCCGCACGCTGCACTCCCCCACTCACTGCCTTCCCTCCTACCTTCCCACCCAACCGACATGGACTCCACAGCTGCAGCTGCTGCCACTGTCGCCCGCTTTTCCTATTGGCCCTCCCACCAACTTTTCCCCTCCACCTCCCCCTTCTCCCCGTTCTTTCCCTTCTTCCCCCTCCTCCTCACCACCCCCCATGGACTCCACAGCAGCAGCCGCCACCATCGCCCCCTCTCACGGCCCACTCCCTCCTCATCGTCCCTCCACTCCACACACAACACATCTTCCCCCTGCAACCCCCCCTCCCCTGCCTCCCCTCCACACCCCCTCTTCCCCGCCACCAGCCGACATGGACTGCACAGCACCAGTCACCGCCACTGTTTTTCTTACTCCGTCCTAGTCTCCCCTCCCCACTCTCAACCACTCCCCCTTCTCCCCCTTTCAGCCCCTCCCTCACTCTCCCCCTTCCTCTGCCCCTCTAGCCAGGTGAAAGCAGCAGCAGCCGCCGCTACTTTCAACCGCCTCTCCCACACGCCCCACTCCCTCCCAGTCTTCCCTCCACGCACAAATACACCCCTGATCCCCCCTCCCACCTCGCACACCCCCTCTTCCTTCCCCACCAGCCAATGTGGATTCCACACAGCAGCAGCTGGCGCCGCCAGCGACTCCCGCATCTCTGGCCCTCCCACCCACTCCCCTCTCCCTCCTTCCCGCTCCGTTCCCTCCTTTTTCCCCACACAAATATTTTCCCTCCCCCGCCTTCCCACTGCACACCAGCTGACATGGACTCCACAACAGCAGCAGCCGCCACCGTCTCGCGCCTCTCCCGCACGCCACACTCCCTCCTGGTCTTCCCAGGGGACCTCTCCTACGCCAACGGCCACCAACCAGACTGGGACACGTGGCAGGCGCTCATCCAGCCAGCGGCGTCCCTGCGGCCGTGGATGATGGCTCCTGGGAACCACGAGGACGAGGCTGACGAGGGGGCGCCGAGCCTCAACCCCTTCAAGGCGTACAACGCGCGCTGGCCCATGCCAAGCACAGCTAGTGGGTCGCCCTCCAACCTGTTCTACTCGTTTGACAGCAGCAGCATCCACTGGGTCATGCTGTCGTGCTACTCGGACTACTCCCAGGGATCTGCCCAGTATAATTGGCTTCAGGTATGCCATGCTGGCAGTGTGGTGCATGCTGGGAGTGTGGTGCATGCCGGGAGTGTGGTGCATGGCGGGAGTGTGCTGCATGCCGGGAGTGTGGTGCATGGCGGAAGTGTGGTGCATACGGGGAGTGTGGTGCATGCTGGGAGTGTAGTGCATGCGAGCAGTGTGCTGCATGCCGGGAGTGTGGTGCATGCCGGGAGTGTGGTGCATGCCGGGAGTGTGGTGCATGCCGGGAGTGTGGTGCATGCCGGGAGTGTGGTGCATGCCGGGAGTGTGCTGCATGCCGGGAGTGTGCTGCATGCCGGGAGTGTGGTGCATGCCGGGAGTGTGCTGCATGCCGGGAGTGTGCTGCATTGCTGCATGCCGGGAGTGTGGTGCATGCCGGGAGTGTGCTGCATGCCGGGAGTGTGCTGCATGCCGGGAGTGTGGTGCATGCGGGAGTGTAATGCATGCTGGGAGTGTGGTGCATGCCGGGAGTGTGGTGCATGGCGGGAGTGTGCTGCATGCCGGGAGTGTGGTGCATGGCGGAAGTGTGGTGCATACGGGGAGTGTGGTGCATGCTGGGAGTGTAGTGCATGCGAGCAGTGTGCTGCATGCCGGGAGTGTGGTGCATGCCGGGAGTGTGGTGCATGCCGGGAGTGTGGTGCATGCCGGGAGTGTGGTGCATGCCGGGAGTGTGGTGCATGCCGGGAGTGTGCTGCATGCCGGGAGTGTGGTGCATGCCGGGAGTGTGCTGCATGCCGGGAGTGTGCTGCATGCCGGGAGTGTGCTGCATGCCGGGAGTGTGGTGCATGCCGGGAGTGTGCTGCATGCTGGGAGTGTGCTGCATGCTGGGAGTGTGCTGCATGCCGGGAGTGTGCTGCATGCCGGGAGTGTGCTGCATGCCGGGAGTGTGCTGCATGCCGGGAGTGTGCTGCATGCCGGGAGTGTGCTGCATGCCGGGAGTGTGCTGCATGCCGGGAGTGTGCTGCATGCCGGGAGTGTGCTGCATGCCGGGAGTGTGGTGCATGCCGGGAGTGTGCTGCATGCCGGGAGTGTGCTGCATGCCGGGAGTGTGGTGCATGCGGGGAGTGTAATGCATGCTGGGAGTGTGGTGCATGCCGGGAGTGTGGTGCATGGCGGGAGTGTGCTGCATGCCGGGAGTGTGGTGCATGGCGGAAGTGTGGTGCATACGGGGAGTGTGGTGCATGCTGGGAGTGTAGTGCATGCGAGCAGTGTGCTGCATGCCGGGAGTGTGGTGCATGCCGGGAGTGTGGTGCATGCCGGGAGTGTGGTGCATGCCGGGAGTGTGGTGCATGCCGGGAGTGTGGTGCATGCCAGGAGTGTGCTGCATGCCGGGAGTGTGGTGCATGCCGGGAGTGTGCTGCATGCCGGGAGTGTGCTGCATGCCGGGAGTGTGCTGCATGCCGGGAGTGTGGTGCATGCCGGGAGTGTGCTGCATGCTGGGAGTGTGCTGCATGCTGGGAGTGTGCTGCATGCCGGGAGTGTGCTGCATGCCGGAGTGTGCTGCATGCCGGGAGTGTGCTGCATGCCGGGAGTGTGCTGCATGCCGGGAGTGTGCTGCATGCCGGGAGTGTGCTGCATGCCGGGAGTGTGCTGCATGCCGGGAGTGTGCTGCATGCCGGGAGTGTGGTGCATGCCGGGAGTGTGCTGCATGCCGGGAGTGTGCTGCATGCCGGGAGTGTGGTGCATGCGGGGAGTGTAATGCATGCTGGGAGTGTGGTGCATGCCGGGAGTGTGGTGCATGGCGGGAGTGTGCTGCATGCCGGGAGTGTGGTGCATGGCGGAAGTGTGGTGCATACGGGGAGTGTGGTGCATGCTGGGAGTGTAGTGCATGCGAGCAGTGTGTTGCATGCCGGGAGTGTGGTGCATGCCGGGAGTGTGGTGCATGCCGGGAGTGTGGTGCATGCCGGGAGTGTGGTGCGTGCCGGGAGTGTGGTGCATGCCGGGAGTGTGCTGCATGCCGGGAGTGTGGTGCATGCCGGGAGTGTGCTGCATGCCGGGAGTGTGCTGCATGCCGGGAGTGTGGTGCATGCCGGGAGTGTGCTGCATGCCGGGAGTGTGCTGCATGCCGGGAGTGTGCTGCATGCCGGGAGTGTGGTGCATGCCGGGAGTGTGCTGCATGCTGGGAGTGTGGTGCATGCCGGGAGTGTTGTGCATGCCGGGAGTGTGCTGCATGCAGGGAGTGTGGTGCATGCGGGGAGTGTGGTGCATGCTGGGAGTGTGCTGCATGCCGGGAGTGTGCTGCATGCCGGGAGTGTGCTGCATGCCGGGAGTGTTGTGCATGCCGGGAGTGTGCTGCATGCAGGGAGTGTGGTGCATGCGGGGAGTGTGGTGCATGTTGGGAGTGTGGTGCATGTAGACATGGGCAAAAAAAATCGCATCGCGTCGTATTTAATCGCGTTTTTGCGATTGAGATGTTTTGTTTTTTGTTTTTTTGTTTTGTTTTGTTTTGTTTTGTTTTTTAATAAATCATCGCTCGATGCAATGAATTGATATCGCGCGATTTAAATTAAATTGCATTTTAATCGCGCTATAAAAACCCGATTTAAATGCGATATGCGATTTTTTAAAAATCGCGCGCGATGTTGCACTGAAACCCACTCTGAAACCTACAACGAAACCACACTGGTTATTTGCACTCTAACTTACGACTGCCCCTGAGTCAAGTTCACCACAGCCATGGTTTTTTCCTGTTTTTTTGGGGTGTTTTTTTATTTTGTTTTAAAACGCGATGCGATTTAAAATCGCATCGCGCGATTTAATTAAATACCGCATGCGGTTTACATATTCATCGCGCGCAACACGCGATGAGCGATGATTTTTTTTCTAGAAATTAAATCGCGCGATGCGATTTAAAATCGTATCGCATTTAATTACATCGCCCCCCAATGCGATACGATTTAAATCGCAATCGCATTTTGCCCTTAGTTGCTACAAACGCGTTTGGCGTTTGAACGCTAGCGTTTAAACGCTAGCGTTTGAACGCTAAACGCTCGGCAGCGTGTATGTGAACGCTAGGCAAACGCTTGCCCGGGCAGGGGTAAAAATTTTACCGGGGCAGGGGTTCAAGATTCCTGTGGGGGAGGGGGGAAACATGGGGGTTCTACCAGCAAGCATTTTGTCTCATAAAAAAGAACCGTGCTTAACATTTAAGCCAGCATCCTCATATGTCATGTAAATCACCTATCCTTGAGGCTATTCTCCAACGACAATCTCGTGTTTTTTTTGGGGGGGCAGCCCGAAAAAAATCCCAGAGAGCGTTTGCGTTTTTGGGTGCGTTTGGCGTTTGCGTTCAAACGCTAGCGTTTGAACGCCAAACGCTTGTCTCCCAGAGCGTTTGTAGCAACTAAGATTTTGCCCATGTCTAGGTGCATGCGGGGAGTGTGGTGCATGCCGGGAGTGTGGTGCATGCCGGGAGTGTGGTGCATGCCGGGAGTGTGGTGCGTGCCGGGAGTGTGGTGCATGCGGGGAGTGTGGTGCATGCGGGGAGTGTGGTGCATGTTGGGAGTGTGGTGCATGCCGGGAGTGTGCTGCATGCCGGGAGTGTGCTGCATGCCGGGAGCGTGCTGCATGCCGGGAGTGTGGTGCATGCCAGGAGTGTGGTGCATGCCAGGAGTGTGGTGCATGCCGGGAGTGTGGTGCATGCCGGGAGTGTGGTGCATGCTCGGAGTGTGGTGCATGCCGGGAGTATTGTGCATGCCGGGAGTGTTGTGCATGCCAGGAGTGTGGTGCATGCAGGGAGTGTGGTGCATGCAGGGAGTGTGGTGCATGCTGGGAGTGTGGTGCATGCCGGGAGTGTGGTGCATGCCGGGAGTGTGCTGCATGCCGGGAGTGTGGTGCACGCCAGGAGTGTGGTGCACGCCGGGAGTGTGGTACATGCCAGGAGTGTGGTACATGCCAGGAGTGTGGTGCATGCTGGGAGTGTGGTGCATGCTGGGAGTGTGGTGCATGCTGGGAGTGTGGTGCATGCTGGGAATGTGGTGCATGCCGGGAGTGTTGTGCATGCTGGGAGTGTGCTGCATGCAGGGAGTGTGGTGCATGCGGGGAGTGTGGTGCATGTTGGGAGTGTGGTGCATGCAGGGAGTGTGGTGCATGCCGGGAGTGTGCTGCATGCCGGGAGTGTGCTGCATGCCGGGAGTGTGGTGCGTGCCGGGAGTGTGGTGCGTGCCAGGAGTGTGGTGTATGCGGGGAGTGTGGTGTATGTTGGGAGTGTGGTGCATGTTGGGAGTGTGGTGCATGCCGGGAGTGTGGTGCATGCGGGGAGTGTGGTGCATGCCGGGAGTGTGGTGCATGCCGGGAGTGTGGTGCATGCCGGGAGTGTGGTGAATGCCGGGAGTGTGGTGCATGCCGGGAGTGTGGTGCATGCCGGGAGTGTGGTGCATGCCGGGAGTGTGGTGCGTGCCGGGAGTGTGGTGCGTGCCAGGAGTGTGGTGCATGCGGGGAGTGTGGTGCATGCCGGGAGTGTGGTGCATGCAGGGAGTGTGGTGCATGCTGGGAGTGTGGTGGATGTTGGGAGTGTGGTGCATGCCAGGAGTGTTGTGCATGCCAGGAGTGTGGTGCATGCAGGGAGTGTGGTGCATGCTGGGAGTGTGGTGGATGCTGGGAGTGTGGTGCATGCTGGGAGTGTGGTGCATGCCGGGAGTGTTGTGCATGCCGGGAGTGTGCTGCATGCAGGGAGTGTGGTGCATGCGGGGAGTGTGGTGCATGTTGGGAGTGTGGTGCATGCCGGGAGTGTGGTGCATGCCGGGAGTGTGGTGCATGCCGGGAGTGTGCCGCATGCCGGGAGTGTGGTGCGTGCCGGGAGTGTGGTGCATGCCAGGAGTGTGGTGTATGTGGGGAGTGTGGTGCATGTTGGGAGTGTGGTGCATGTTGGGAGTGTGGTGCATGCCGGGAGTGTGGTGCATGCCGGGAGTGTGGTGCATGCAGGGAGTGTGGTGCATGCCGGGAGTGTGGTGCATGCCGGGAGTGTGGTGCATGCCGGGAGTGTGGTGCATGCCGGG